TTTTATTTTTTTACCCTATTTTTTAACCGGGGCAACAGTGGCATTGGATGTAGGAGTTTGCCCTGAAATTTAAGGATTGACGGTTCAAGCCGTTCAAGTCAAACTCTGACTTTCAGTGTTGTCGTGTCCTTGGGCAAGACACTTCACCTGCATTGTCTATGATGGTGGTGTACGGCAGTGTACGGCAGCCTCGCTTCTGTCAGTGAGGCCCAGGGCAGCTGTGGCTACAATGTAGCTTGCCACCATCAGTGTGTGCGTGAATGGGTGAATGACTGAATGTAGTTTAAAGCGCTTTGATCAAATCTCCTGACTTCAAAAAGAGCCATATAAGTACAGGCCATTTACCTATTTGTTTCTGCCTGTCGTATTTACATTTCTGTATGCATTTCTGCCTCATTATGCAAACGAGGAGGGGTGTGTCTTAAAGGGTCATCTTCTGCCCATTGGTTGGTTAGCAGCCACCGGCCACAGTCACAACAAACATAACGATGAAGCTGTCTGAGTTAGCAGAGGCAATTAGCAACTGTTTTTGAAAACAATGCTAATGTTATAAGTATTGACTTTATTATTTTTCATTTGGATGCTCTGACAGACTGTGTTTCAGTTAGCGGAACACATGGACACAGATGTCGACAATGTAGTTTTTCAGAATCTGGAGGAAGCGGCCATTCAAGCTCCGTGGAGTCAGCGGGATCTACCAAACGGTTGATCCGACTGAGGCACTCCGATGTCGGCCAGCATCTCTCAGCTGCTCCCTCCTCCCACACGCGGTGGTGCAGTTAGGGACCGTCAACAAATCAAGCACACTTGAGAAACAAAAATCAATATTACATAATTAATTTAATGTAATCTTTTTCTTAGCCTCATAAAGCAGGAGTTTAAGAAAAATGAAATATTATTGTGGTGACTCAGCAGCCAGTTTACTATCAGTATTTTACTTTTGAAATCAGTAAAAGTAGAATCATGCAGACATATATTATACAGACAGAACACTATAGATCTATACAGATATAGACAAACACAAAACAAATGAAGACAAAAAGAGTTCCTTTCTCAATTTTTATTTTTTTAAAATATGAACATACGTGAAGATATATCACATTGTAGAGACATACAAGCCCAGTTTGTGTTACAAAGATTTCTTGCCCTGGAGACAGCTTTCTATGTCAGGGGCTGTTGCTGATACTGGTGATTTACTGCTTTGTCTGTTAATTAGGACACGTGTCTCCTCAGTGTTCCTTTGTGGCACAAGCTGTTCCTCAGCCCTTAATTAAAAAGAAAACGATCCTTTAGACTAGAGACATTTGTTTTTAAATGAACCAAATATATTTAAGAGAAAATGTAATGTTTTAAGTTGTTAATTGGGAAGTTGGCAAATATTTTTAAATTGTGCTTATATACACACACTAAAATTTCATATTGTCATTAAAATGTAATGATTTAAAAATATAAAACAATGTGATAGATAAATCACCAAACAAGAGACTTACTGAATGTTGCTGGTTTGTTTTTCAGGGTTTTCCTCCATTGGAAGTTTCCTGTGTGACACATGCAGGATTTTAAGAATAGGGACAAATTAATTACTTAAAAAAAAAAAAAAAAAACAGGGAATATTTCCAATAGCAATACCTCTTCTGATGCATTCTTTGCCAGAAAACGATACATAAACCCATTAGAAGTCCAAAGAACAACACTCCAGTAGCTACACTCAATCCTTTGGAAACAGAGCAACTGGAGTTAAAAATATGACTAAATAAATAAAAAGCTACATGCCTGAACATTAACATATCTATATCCATATAATCAGGTCCAGAGTCTTCTTCCAAACCTGTCAAATAATGAGCCAACAGAACTCAACAGTTTCAGCACTGTCATTGTTTTTTTCACATTTTGAAAAACTGATCGAAACCTTTATCATAATTTTTTCGTGATTTTATATATCACACCATTAATGTAAAGTGCAAGATTTCTTTTTTCACAAATAAAAATCTAAAGATGGCCTATGTATGAATTCAAATCATCTAAACATTTGGTTTTAATTCATTTCATGGTTATTAGTGCAATTTTTCTTTGTACTTTGACTAGGCCATTCCAAAAATTCCAATCCTTTATAGGGCAAGTTACAATTTTTTTGTCACTTCCATACCCCTAAGAAATGGAG